TCCGATTATGAGCTTTCTGAAATTCTGTAGCCCAGCCTGAGTCAAATTCATTAGATGCTGCTCTTAAAGTTGAATCTTCCCCATTTTTTGGAGTATCCAAAGTGTTAGCACCGTAAAATTCTTGTGCCCAATTTGAATGTGAACCTATTTGTTTATTGTTAAATTCTGATGCCCAATTATTATTGTTGTTCTGCTGCTGCGTCTCAAATTCAGAAGCCCAATTCGCATTAGGTATTGGAGCCTTTTGTTCTACAACCTTATTTCCTTCAATAGAAAGTTCTTGAATGCTCAATTTTTTCATAAATTTCATGAATGAAGAATTTTTAAATTTTGGGTTTGTCTCTCCTTCAACAGAAACAAGTAATTTACTAGCTATATCGGACAATTCGGTTTTTGTATCATCTCCACTTCCAATCCCTTCCTGTTCTTTAAATTCATTTGCCCATGTCTGCTCTTGAGCTTTAAACTCTGATTCCCAATTCGCACCTAAACCAAATAACCATGATAAGTATAAGGAGCAACGACATAAACTTTGCAACAACAACATTTTGAAAATTACTCTTCTTTGCGTCATCAAATGCTTGTTCGAAAGCAGCTATTTCTTCTGGACGTATTTCAACATCGTTTGCTGGCAATTTGTGGAACTGAGAAAATTCGGTTGCCCATTTGTCTGAAATGTTGATTTGGTTAATCGCTTAAATTTAAGCCTCCAATGCCTAAAAATATCGCCTACCTTGATTTTGGGCATCCTTATAAATCACTTCAAAATTTTCAAATTCCGAACGCGCGTGGTCAGGCATTATGTGATGATGGGTCGATTCTGATTGCTTTAAAAAACTTGCTGCCCAATCCCCATTTTTCTGCGAGTCATGTACAATCGTTTCAAGTCCTCTGTTCATTTGATCAAAGTTATAGATGTCCGGTGGAAGAGATGATTCTTGTCCCGGATGTTGGAAAAATTTTTGCGCATACTAAAAAAGATATATATTTTTTTTAATTACTTAGGTTAAGCCAAACTAAAAGCACAAAGATGACTTACCTCATCTTGCTGTTTAATATTCTTTTGAGTTCTAAATGCCTGATTATTCGAAAATATAATTATATATACTGTATATATATATAAGCGTTCGCAAATAAAAAAAAATAGGGCAAATAACGTACTGCTTTTGAAGATCCTCCACCGTATCGTTCTGCTGTAAATTTATCCTAAAAGATCAAACTCAATTACTTAATTGTGAGGAACTTATTTTAAAATAAAAGTACAAGCATTTGGTTGAATTACCTGCTGCGACGATCTATCATGCGTAATGTGCTTCATTAGGCCAGTCATTGAATTTGTAGGCCCACAACTTGCGTCTTCAGCAAACCACTGTGGGATGGACATTGTTGATAATTTATTGTTGAAAAAAAAAAAAGGTACAACTTTAATTGTGCGAATTTTGATAATGTCAAAAATAAAAAAATTTTTTTTCGGATTTCAACGAAATATGATGAAAGAATTAGGATCATGTGACTTTGACTTGTCATGCAGATCCTAAAGCGGTTAGGTTAATTCGCGTTTAGATGTTTAGTTATCCTACGCGATTAAGGTTTTCAAATTTTGAAAATGACCGATAGCTTTGAAAAACTCAAAAATGATAAAGAGCTTCAAATCATGGCCATTGAAGTTCAGGCTATTTGTAGTGAAAAAAGTTTTGAAGAAATTCTTGTAGATCTTCACAAAACGCGAAATGCGGAACTTACGATCAATCGTATTTTTGATGGGAATGTATGGGATTACATTGAGCCTTCCTTAAATTCACCTCGAAATTATTTTAAAATGTTTATTTTTTCTTTTAATTTTCTAATTAAAGTTTCTTGAAGGGACGCGTTTTGACACTTTGAAAAAGTCAAAATTTTCATTTCCTATTCATTTATTAGATGAAAAGGATGATGCATCATCATGCGTACATCAGGTCCACGTGTTGAATCAAGAAAATCCAAATATTGGTGATGATATAGCTAATCAGAGATGCCAACGTAAGGATGATAATATAAATGAAGAAGGAATCAACAGGATTAAGGAAGTCGAAAAATTGGAAAGGGTAAATATATAAAATACATTGTTATAGTAAGATTAAATAAAGTCATAACAAATTTAATTTAATTTTAGAAAACTCAAAAGGAACAACAGAGATTGGAACGTAAAAAACAAAAAGAGGAACGTGAGGCTGAGAAAAAAAGGCTCAAGCAAATTCAGGAAGTTAACAAGACCAAGTATGATAAATTCGAATTGTGTCGAGAGTTGATACTTGACATTTCAAATAATTTATCAGAAAAAAATCTTGTTGACTATTTGCGGGACAATCCAAAGTATACGTTATTAACTATCAACGTCGTTCAACACGATTTTCCTAATATCATTAAATGGCGGAGGAAAATTACTGCGGAATGGGATGATGAATTTTGCGCTTTCATGCCAACTCCAGAAAGGATTCAAGAAGAATCATTTTTATTGATTTATTTTGAGATATCAGAATTCACCAAGTTTATTAAAGATGATATCTTATCCGATAATATCAATAAAATTCAAGAAACTTTTAGTAGCAAGAGAATAATTATATTAATTGAAGGTTATGAAAGCTATTGTCGCAGGAGAAAAACACAAATCAATCGAAATTTCACCAATGCTGTTCGGTCAGGTATAGAACACGACGTCGAAGATACGGAAATTACAACAACAACAACAACAACAACAACAAAACGGAAGAAAAAAATTCAAGAACAAGAACCTGATCTTGAAAAGCTGGAAGAAGAGTTGTTGTGGTTACAAGTAATTGCAAAATGTTTAATTGTTCACACGAAAAATATTCAGGATACAGCAGAAATGATAGGCATTCTCTCGGCTGATATTGCAACTATACCATACAAGTAAGTCGCGTAGCTATTAGCTATTGTTCTTTATTAATCTTACTTTTACATTGAAAAGAAAATTTCTTACTCTTTAGAAATCGTAATTGCGATTTGAACTTTTGGGCTGAAGGTCAAGTACGATCTGGTACCGATCCTAGCAACACTTGGTTACGCATGTTACAAGAGATTCAATTCGTGACCGAGCCTGTGGCTAGAGGGATCATAAATGTATATCCGACTGTCAGATCGTTATACAAAGCATATCAGAGGTGCCTCACTAGAGAAGAAGCAGAAAATCTTTTGACATCTGTTGAGGTAAAGTTTTATACATTTATGTTCATAATGTAAAAAAAAAAAAAATGGGGTAGATTCAACTTTAAGAGCAGCATCTAATGAATTTGACTCAGGCTGGGCTACAGAATTTCAGAAAGCTCATAATCGGA